TCTTAGAGCTTTGTAGGATGTCGAGTCACTGCCTTCTCTGATTACATGGCCGAACCATAACAAGCGCCGTTCCCTGCATGTTCTGGTGATAGGCAATTGGTTGGACAGCTTGTATAAGTTTTTATTCGATATTTTTTGGGGATACACTACGCCGAGAATGGATCGTAGTTTGCGGCGATGCCACGTGTCGAGCCTGTTGCCGAGTGCTGCTGTCAAGGTCCACAGGCCACAGTTGTATAGTAGAACCGGAAGGATAAGAGTGGTGAACATAAGCATTCTAGATAATAAAGTGTGTCTCTTCCAGGCTATAGTGCCAAACGCTCGGTTAGCGGCATTGATACGGTTCTCGATGTCACTTCCAGATCCCAAGAGACTTCCAAGTAGTTTCGTCTTTCTCCATGCGTCATCATCCTTGGAAGGAGTTACAAATTGAGTTTTTGTTAGATTTAATCTCAGGTCATCCTGGGCGAAAATTGGCTCACATTTCGCTGCAGCGGCTACCACAGCATCACGTTCAGTGTCATGTATTGTGGTGTCATCTGCATACTGTGAGAAATGAGTAGGCAGGCATGAAGGGGAGGTGCAGGCTGCTCTCACCTGCCTCATCGCACCTTCTGCGTAGACAATGAACATGGCCGGAGACATCGGGTCCCCCTGAACCACGCCGATATTGGTCGAGAAGGGAGCACTGAGCTGCCCAGCAATCTTCACCCTAGCTGTCGTATCGGAGACTAGCAATTTCATCATTGAGGTGGGTGCACCCGAATCGGCCATTCGATCGAGCGCCTTGCCACGGTTCACTGTGTCGAATGCACCGCTGAAATCGAGTAATGCTGCTGAATAGTTCCAATTTCCGAGCAAAGCTCTCTCACACAGAGACCGCACACAGAACACCCCATCAGCTGTTGAGCGACCTGGTCTGAAACCGGCTTGTGACTCATCCACAAACTGCTGAATATTGGTGCTAATTCTCTTTGTGATTATGGTTGTAAGGACTTTCCAAACCACTGACAATAGCATTACTGGTCTGTAACTCTTCGGGGCTCCTTTCGGTTTGCCATTTTTGTATATTGGCACAATAATTCCAGTAGTCAGGTCTGCCGGGCAGTGCTGTAATTGGCGAATGACATTGAAAAATGAGGACAGCCAACCAGCTAGAATGTCAGAACCTGCACGCAGCACCTCACTGCTAATTCCATCCTGACCGACTGCTCCGCCTACTTTTTGCTTCTGTATCGCTGCACGAACGTCTTCTGTTGAGAAAGGCTCATCATCCCTGACACCAGTCGCTGGCTGATGAACCGGTTTGCACGGCATGCTGGAATCGTAGAAAATTGATGAATAATATTCACCAAATTTCTGGAGGTTCCAACCAAAGTCTGGGATGATCCTTCCATCAGCATCAGCCAGTTGGATGGGTGGTGTATTGTCACCCGCTCTCAGTTTGCGTAGGTTGGCTTAGGCATAATTTTTGGAAATTTCTTTTTTCATGCCAAAGTGATGTCTATATATCCAACTTCCATCATGGAAATTTTGGTGCCCATCTAAAATGTATATGTGCCATAAATAAGCATACATTGTGCACATGTTACAGAATGGCTGGTATCAATGACACTAAGGATTCCAAGACCTTCCCAAACTCCAAGAAAACATGGGACACCAAGTGGAGACAAAGCTTAGCAGGTGTGCAAGCAATACAAGAAGAATGAGAACATGTGTTCTAATTAGAAGATCCAAGAAAGAAGAAATAACAGATCTACATTTCAAAATTTTCATCCTGACTCATGTCATTTTTTAAAACGCAACTAGCAGCACCCCCGCCAGCGTTGCCTGGCCGAATGTGGCATGCGGGTACGGGTGAAGCAAGTACATGAACAGCACACGTGTTCAGCACGTGGTGGTGGCCAGACCGCTGAAGTCCTGGTGAGGGAGGTTCTTCATCGTTGGAAGGAGAAGGAGGGACGTCTGTTACGCCTTCGGGAGGCTGGTCAGGGTTGTCCATCACCTGGTGGCGGATGAAGCGGCTCAAAAAATTCATAAACTTACGAACAAAAGTGCGATGCGCTCTTCACCGCAGATCAGATGCAGAGTGCAGTCAGTGCAGATCTTTTGTATCCTTTTGTTGCAGATGTTTTTATTTGCAGAGAACGGCTCACGTGGTCCGCAGCGCTTGTGCGGCTGCTAGTAGTAGTGCTACCTATGGCCTAGGCTAGGTGGCTACATGATTCGCACGCTTCGCGTGCTCAGTGCTTCTGCGCGCGGCTGCTACTCGTACTGATCGTGTCTGCTATGTATAAGTTACAGTATAAGCGCTACCACCGTACCTACACTGTTCGCACGCTTCGCGTGCTCAGCACGTGGTGGTGGCTACACGTACGTACACGATTCGAACGCTTCGCATGCTCAGTGCTTCTGTGGCTGCTTCCGCTAGCTACACGATTCGCACGCTTCGCGTGCTCAGTGCTTCTGCGGCCGCTAGCTACACTGTGCTACACTGTTCGCACGCTTCGCGTGCTCAGGGCAGCGCTGCTCCGCAGCGCTTCAGCGTGACACAAAAACACACGTCACAGGTGCCTCTTCTTTATAAGGAGCGTGACACACACACACACACACACACACACACACACACACACACACACAGACACACGTCACAGGTGCCTCTCTTTTATAAGTAAAGATACGTATTTTCATATCCTTCATCATGATGTTGTGACTATATGTTTCGCTGGGTTGGGGAACGTCGTATCTTACCAAGACAGTCCGTCATACTCTCTCCAATCACCTATGCCAGGATGAATTAATCCTTTCATGTAGCTCGTAGTGCTGTGCCAGACATCTCCTACATATAGGTGCAGTAGACTGCACATCGCTAACAAGCGGCACTGGTTCTTTGTCCGTCCTAGTCCATGTCATTCTCCTTCCCTGCCAAGGATACTGGTAGAAGGCGCCACGGGACAAAGTGCTAGCAGGTAAAGTCAATGCATCGCTTCGTCGTGTGGCACTATTTCCTTTAAACGAGGAAATTTTGGAATCCAGTACGCCACGCCATGAACACTAAATTGAAGTTAGCCGAAACAAAGTGAAACATCGCAGCAAGAGCCAACCCGCGATATTCATGTTAAAACAAAATGGCGTCACGATTTATTGAAAGTGGTATAGTTGGTGGTACGAGTGTTCAAAACCATTTGAACTTCATACTGTTCGTCTTCTTTTTGACATGCTCTCTTTCCATCGTCCTTAGCTTTTGTTTGTTGTGAGCTGTTTTGGCTTTCTCCTGTACCTCTGGGGGATGCCAAGTGATGGCTTTGAGAGGCTGGTGATGGCTGTGAGCGAGAGTTTGCCGATCGGCGTCGTCCTCGCTGTAGCGACGAAAATACTAGTAACTGCGCACCTGGCAGATATCACAACACGTCGGAGCGTCCAGGAGCAAAGGGATCTTGGGTTTTCACTGGAATCTAGTTCCTCCAGCATCGTGTAGCCCACCGTCGGTGAATGGCGGTCCAGAAAGGTCGAAACTGGTCTTCTGCAGCATCTCATCATTACAAAATAATTATCCATGACAACTCTGGGGTTACCATGGCAACAAAGCGAATTTTCATGGTGTTTTAGGCGATATTTTGAATTCTCTGTAAAGAATTTTCCGAGGAGAAAAATTCGCACCATGTGGCCAGTCTTGGCAGTGAAGGGTGTCCAATTTTGGGCGAAATTTATTTGGCAGCACTGCCTACTAACCAAAATTGGGATGAAATGGGCTGCCAAGTGAGCATTGGCGACATAAAAACAAAGCTGAAGGGTAGTATAGTCACAATGTGAGGCAGGCAGACCAGTAAGGCAGCATTCCTGCACCAATGGTCATGTGATCCTGGTACACTAATGGACTGAGGCTGTATTGGCGGCCCAGCAGGCGCAGGAGCAGCCTGAGCAAACTCAATGTCATCACTGTCTGGCCAAATGAACTCATCACACAGCGGTGGCAAGGCAGCTGGCGACGGTGCACACATGGAATTAGGCACACGCGGCAATACACTGGGAGCACGCTGCCAGGGCTTCAGTCAGAGTCGCGACTCTGACTCTGACTGCGACTCTGCCTCACGCTGCTACCTGGAGCTTCACGAGGTGTTTGTCGCGCTGGAAACAAAGCGTCTCTGTAAGTTTGTATCCCTGGTGATGGTTTGGCCTGGAGAGCAGTATATAAGTGGTGCTTTTCAGGCACAATCTTCCTCAGCCTACTCAAGCTCAACTGATGAGGGGTGAATTCCCCGAAACACTGTGTATTGAGCAGGGAGTGGTGCTTTCTTGCAGGTTTGCCGAGTGAAAGGTGCGACGTGCTCCTCGTGTGCTCCGGATGGCAGTTGTGAGTCAGTCAAGTGTCAAGTTCGGCAAAAAGCGTGTGTTCCTAGTTGGAACAATCAACTTCATCTCTTTTAAAACTGTGAAAAATATTCTTTCTATCAAACATAGCAACTCCTACAAATGTGCGGTTGGATTGAGCAGAATTTATAGATGTTTGCCAATGGAGACTTTAGCTAGGTATGTTTGCGTGTTCGGAATACTGGGCTACAGTAGCAGTGTAATAGGTGTATTTATGCCACGACCTGAATACTCACTATTCGTATTTCCCGCTCGTTCCCCTTGGCAATGAGCCACTCACATAGAAGAGCGCATGCTCCAGTCCAGTTCTGTTCTAGTCTAGTCTTGAGTTGTCGTTGTCCTGTTCTCTTTCTGTCTACATTCTTGTCGAATACTTCTATAAATTATCCAATCATATAAAACCCCTGTGTTCCGGTGTGAGGGGGCATCATTAGCCGGGAGCAGCTAACACTGGTGGCAGCGGTGGGATTCGAACCCACGCCTCCGGAGAGACTGGAGCAAGTGAAAATCATTTCCCTTTTCGGGGTTTCTGAATCACTGTGCTCTTTTGCCGTGTCAGTGACGAGAGCTGGCAATGTATTCTGTAATGTCTTTGTAATATTCCTGATAATGTGCTCTCCTTGAAGCAGACATATGCATCCAATGACTTTTCGATGGAAATGATGCAGCAACAGCAGCAGCCGCAACAACAGCAGCAGCCGCAACAACAACAGCAGCAGCCGCAACAACAGCAGCAGCCGCAACAACAGCAGCAGCCGCAACAACCTCATTTCCCACCGGCAACGAATGTCAGCAGTCTATACCAGTCACAGTATGGTAACACACCAAAGGCATCCTCCCTCAGTGGACCGAGTGGCGCAGCAGTATACGCTGATACGAGCTCTTCGTACTATCGTCCAGACAACAGATCGTTGCAGCATGATCAAACATCTTACTCTGGATCTTCGGTGAAGGCACTGTCGGGACACCAGAGCAGTGTGAGTAAACAGACACAGACAGACTCACGAACGAATGGCAGCAGGCTATACCAATCACTGTATGGTAACACACCAACGGCATCCTTCCTCAGTGCACCGAGTGGCGCAGCAGTATACGCTGATACGAGCTCTTCGTACTATCGTCCGGGCAACACACCGTTGCAGCATGGTCACACATCTTACTCTGGATCTTCGGTGAACGCGCTGCCGGGACACCAGAGCAGTGTGAGTAAACAGACACAGACAGACTCACGAACACACACACGCATACACACACACACACACGCACACACACACACGCACACACACACACACACACACACACACACACACTTAGAAATCTGTAAAAAATTAACTGCCTAATGTAATATCGCAATCCAAGTCCAAAGCATCCTAAAGTTGAACAGCAGTCGTCCAGAGCGTACAGTCAGTGTACACAACATACCTAGTTCCGTAGTATAGTCATAGTGTGAGGCAGGCAGACCAGCATTCCTGCACCAATGATGATGTGATCCTGCTACACTAATGGACTGAGGCTGTACTGGCGGCCCAGCAGGCGTAGGGGTAGCCTGAGCAAACTCAAAGTCATCACTGTCTGGCCAAATGAACTCATCACTCAGCGGTGGCAAGGCAGCTGGCGACGGTGCACACATGGAATTAGGCAGACGCGGCAATACACTGGGAGCACGCTGCCAGGGCTTCAGGTGATTGTAGTGCACGCACACTTGTGCTTGCGTAAGTCTGCGGCCAACGCTATTTCAACGACCGGACCAGTCATACGGGTAAAGTGGAGAAATACGGGTTTAACCATGTACGACTCATACGTGACTCACAAGCGACTCACGGCAAGGGTAATAACATGCAGATACAAAACATGGAAGGAGAGAAAATAATGTAACTAACTGCCCATCCTGGGGTTCGAACCTAGGAATCTATATCCACACAAGCTCTAAAAAATAAATACTCTTTTAAAACTGTGAAAAATATCCTTTTCTATCAAATATAGCAACTCCTACAAATGTGCTGGTTGGATTGAGCAGAATTTGTAGATGTTTGCCAATGGAGACTTTAGCTAGGCATGTTGGCATGTTTGAAACACTGGGCTACAGTAGCAGCACTCTTGAGCAAATGAAAATCATTTCCCTTTTCGGGGTTTCTGAATCACTGTGCTCTTTTGCCGTGTCAGTTACGAGAGCTGGCAATGTATTCTGTAATGTCTTTGTGATATTCCTGATAATGTGCTCTCCCTGAAGCAGACACATGGATACAATGCATTCTTGATGGCAATGATGAAGCAACGACAGCAGAAGCTGCAACAACAGCAGCAGCCGCAACAACAGCAGCAGCCGCAACAACCTCACTTCCCACCGGCAACGAATGGCAGCAGTCTATACCAGTCACAGTATGGTAACACACCAAAGGCATCCTCCCTCAGTGGACCGAGTGGCGCAGCAGTATACGCTGATACGAGCTCTCCGCATTTTCGCCCTGGCAACAGACTGCTGCAGCAAGGTGACACATCTTATTCTGGATCTTTGGTGAAGGGACTGCCGGGACACCAGAGCAGTGTGAGTAAACAGACACAGACAGACTCTCGAACACACACACGCACGCACGCACACACACACACACACTTTGTACTTGTACTTGCTCACTGCCAAAACTGGTCACGTGGGTCTCCCCAGGAGAGGGGAGAGAGACTCAAAAGGAATCTTGTAAAGATGACTCAATTGGCCATTGAACCACCCAGCGGCCGACACCCCCTGAAATCCCCAAACTAGGGTGGACTTAAAATGATCCCACTTATCGGCTCACCACACCTCAGTAAGTGGGTGAGGACAAGGTGCAGAAAAAGGATTGACGGCATCATGGTATCCGTCCCAGGATCCAACTGCGGGTACCCCTGTGTATATACACACACACACACACACACCCTTAGAAATCTGTACAAAAATAACTGCCTAATGTAATATCGCAATCCAAGTCCAAAGCATCCTAAAGTTGAACAGCAGTCGTCCAGAGCGTACAGTCAGTGTACACAACATACCTAGTTCTGTAGTATAGTCATAGTGTAAGGCAGGCAGACCAGCATTCCTGCACCAATGGTCATGTGATCCTGGTACAATAATGGACTGAGGCTGTACTGGCGGCCCAGCAGGCGTAGGGGTAGCCTGAGCAAACTCAATGCCATCACTGTCTGGCCAAATGAACTCATCACGCAGCGGTGGCAAGGCAGCTGGCGACAGTGCACACATGGAATTTGGCAGACGCGGCAATACACTGGGAGCACGCTGCCAGGGCTTCAGGTGATTGTAGTGCACGCACACTTGTGCTTGCGTAAGTCTGCGGCCTACGCTATTTCAACGACCGGACCAGTCATACGGGTAAAGTGGAGAAATACGGGTTTAACCATGTACGACTCATACGTGACTCACAAGCGACTCACGGCAAGGGTAATAACATGCAGATACAAAACATGGAAGGAGAGAAAATAATGTAACTAACTGGCCACCCTGGGGTTCGAACCTAGGAATCTATATCCACACAAGCTCTAAAAAATAAATGAGCCCGAGCGCGCTAAAACATGACCACAGCTTTTTTTGAAAAAGTCGAGATAATCGCGATTTGAATTCCGCGGCAAAAAAATACGAAGTGCAGTGCAACGCGAGTCGCTGTTGTTGTTCTCCTCGGTCGACTGGACTGTTCCGGATGCAATTCTTTGTTGCAAGTAAGTAGTTTATTTGTTAGAGTTTGTATTCCATGTTGCGCTGAGTCGCCTAAAACTGATCGTCATCGATGTATCGACAGAAGAGCCTAGTAGTAGTAATGTACTGCGGAGCGGAAGAAGACGACATCATCGCACTCCATGCGCAGGATAAAATATTTTGAGGATTCGAGTCGGAAACAGAAGGAAGACGATGATGGCTACAGCGACGAGTCATTTGAGGGCGACACTTTCATCGAGCGTAAAAGGAATTGATGCTGGTAGTCCCACGATCTGCAGTGACGAGGAATTCTACTCTGATGACAACCTGGCAAGCGATTGGCATCGACACTGACTTGGGAGGTGAGTCGGCCGATGATTTGGCCAGAATGGACATCGCTGCACATATCCGGGACAATGCCAGTATTGGTTGCAAGTGCAAAAACAATCACTGGACTCTGCTGCTCCCTCAACTTGCTCAAGTCGATAATTTGAGTACCCGTATGCGGAACATCGCTAGCATGAGCAGTATACAGCGAAAACAGTACTCTCTGGCGAGCGGAGAAAACCGTGTGCAGATGGGCTTTGGTGTGGGGAATATGAGTGCGACGTCTAGTATGTTGACGAACACTGTGTGCAGCAGTGTATACTGTATATCTGAAAGTACAGGTGGAATGTGATGGAGAGGCGTGGAGTGCCAACTTCTTCGGCCATCTACAGATGTTGACCATGTTTTCGCTGGCGGTTCTCCAGTGGTGCTCCAAACAGGAGGTATTTCGGACACCCAGCTCAGCTGCCTATAGACAATTTGGATGTGGCTGAGTACCTGTCAGCTCATGCTATAAGACCCTGGACAGAGGAACTGACCCGGAAAGGATGAACCAAGGGGCATATCAATTGTGTGCAAAAATGACAATCCCATTGCTGCACATAGAATTTCACCATTTCAACAGTGCTGCATATGATACCATTGTAGCAACACTTAGACATGTCGGATCAATCCAAAACTTTCAGACAGTGAACATTAGGTATGTTAGATCATTTTTTAACAAAAAAACTGAAAATCGAATTTTTGGTCTGTGGTCATATTTTGGCGTGCTCTGGCTCAAATACTCTTTAAAAACTAAAATGAAGTTGAAGACACCACTGCAGCTGTACTTATGGTTGATAATATGGTGGTAAAGACACACCTGGCAATATGGCGGTAAACACACGCCTGCCCACACACGCTCTCTAGGCTGCAAAGTTCTGGCACAGAGCTCTCCTTCTCACCACCACCACCATCAGTTCGCGCCTGGCGCCTGGTCGATGCATGGCTGGCGGTATCCGGCATAGCAGGCTGGTACATCAAGTAGCGCATGGCACATAGATGATGACACAGCAACGACATAGCTCGATTGCGACGTATGTTTCGTCCCCGCTGGACTCATCAGGCAATCTTCTTGGATGTCTTCATACAGAGCTTGACTCGCGAGAATGAAGTTAAAGACACCACTGCAGCTGTACTTATGCTTGATAATATTCTTTAAAAACTGTGAAAAAATTTCTTTCTATCAAATATAGAAACTCCTACAAATGTGCTGGTTGGATTGAGCAGAATTTGTAGATGTTAGCCAATGGAGACTTTAGCTAGGCATGTTGGCATGCTTGGAATACTGGGCTACAGTAGCAGCACTCTTGTGCAAGTGGAAATCATTTCCCCTTTCGGGGTTTCTAAATTACTGTGCTTTTTCCGTGTCATTGACGAGGGCTGGCAATGTATTCTGTAATGTCTTTGTGATATTGTTGATAATGTGCTCTCCTTGAATCAGACACATGGATACTATGCATTCTTGATGAGAAAGATGCAGCAACAACAGCAGAAGCCGCAACAACAGCAGCCGCCGCAACAACAGCAGCAGCTGCCACAACCTCACTTCCCACCGGCAACAAATGGCAGCAGTCTATACCAGTCACAGTATGGTAACACACCAACGGCATCCTCCCTCAGTGGACCGAGTGGCGCAGTAGTATACGCTGATACGAGCTCTCCATACTGTTGCCCTGACAACAGACCGTTGCAGCATGGTCACACATCTCACTCTGGATCTTCGGTGAAGGCACTGCCGGGACACCAGAGCAGTGTGAGTAAACGGACACAGACAGACTCACGAACACACACTCGCACACACACACACACACACACGCATGCACACGCGCACGCACACCACACACACACACACACACACACACACACACACACACACACACACACACACACACACACATACACACACACACACACACACACACACACACACACGCACACATAGACACAACATGCATCTCACAGGTGGGATTCTCTGGTTATTCACCTTTTTTCTTTTTTTCTTTCTTCTTTCTTTGCTTTTTTACTGCTGGTCTTCTGTACAGATGTTTGGCGAAGACATGCTACAGGCAATGTGTGCCACTGGCGCTCTCTACTCAGGCGACACAGCACAGACTTATCCGGGCAGCGCAGGAAGTAAGGCAGTTTGATGTATGCTGCTGTTGTCCAGGGTTGTGGTGGGATATGATTTTGACAACGTGATTTTGGACGTAGGAATGCTGCTGGCATGCTGGTGTGCACAAGCTGACTGTCTGGAAATTGTGAAATTACATTACCAAGTACAAGTACTGGTGGTGCTTCTCTTGTGTTGACCGCAGGGACTCAGATGGGAGCAGCTAATCTATCGGCGACAGCAGATACAGGGCTGCCATCGCAAGCATCGGTGAGTGAATTAGAGTCGATGTGCGACCGTGAAACGAACGTCTGAAATGTGTACCTTGGGATACCACAACTCAAACACTTAAAATACGGTCTCTTTGCTGCATACGCAAACTAACAGTTATTCACCAAATTTTCGGGCATGGCCGATCTTCAGGGTGAATACGGTTTTGACTTTTAACTAGTGATGCTACTCCAAGTAATAATACTGTGGATAACTTTGTATAGCTTGAATGAGTGACTAAGGTCAAAAGAGACTCAACGGTCATAAACGTTCAGGGAAAATCCCTAAACTACAGTCAGTTCAACAAACAACCTTGATCCAGCATTGGATTGTTCAACCTGTTGCAAAAGAAGGATCCACAAGCGGGATTCGAACCCAGCATCCTTGTCTTTCCGGGACAGTGCCCTACCCATTAGGTGCGGTGTGCATAGGAACAGATCTGACATTGAATCCATCTCAGTTGGCGTTAAAGAACTTGGGTGGATGTGCAGTAGCTGGCCCCGGACGTAGCCACACTGAAACACAAGTCAAAACACTCACTTCGTAGTTTTACAAATAATCGTCAGGAATTAAAAAGAGAGGACCATCAGTTTACAAGTTATCCGTTCGGTCCAACACGAAAGATTATAAGCAGGATAATTGTCAGTCACAATGTGCAACAATTAGCACAAAACTGACTGATGTGATACTGACATTCAATCACCTGAGGGTTAGCTGCATCGCTTCTGGATTGTCAATATTTTATCAGTCAGTTTTGTGGAAATTGTTGCACATTTTGACTCACCATTATCCTGCTCATAACAGACAGAGTCATACTGGTAAAGTGGAGAAATACGGGTTTAGCTATACACGACTCATACGTGACTCACAAGCGACTCACGGCAAGGGGAATAACAAGGGGAATAACATGCAGAAACAAAACAGGCAAGGAGAGAAAAATGTAACTAACTGCGCATCCTGGGGTTCGAACCTAGGAATCAGTATCCACACATGCTCTCATAATGCAACTCCTACAAATGTGCTGATTGGATTGAGCAGAATTTGTAGATGTTTGCCAATGGTGACTTTGGCTAGGCATGTTTGCGTGTTTGGAATACTAAGCTACAGTAGCAGCACTCTTGAGCAAGTGGAAATCATTTCCCTTTTCGGGGTTTCTGAATCACTGTGCTCTTCTGCCGGGTCATTGACGAGGGCTGGCAATGAATTCTGTAATTTCTCCGTGATGTTCCTGGTGATGTGCTAACCTTGAAGCAGAGACATGGATCCACTGCATTCTCGATGGCAATGACGCAGCAACAACAGCCACAGCCGCAACAACAGCAGCAGCAGCCGCAACAACAGCAGCAGCCAGAACAACCTCAGTTCCCGTCGGCAGCAATTAGCAGCAGTCTATACCAGTCACAGTATGGTAACACGCCAACGGCATCCTCCGCCAGTGGACTGAGTGGCACAGCGGTTTACGCTGATACGAGCTCTCCGTACTATCGTCCTGGCAACAGACCTGGGCAGCATGTTCACACATCTTACTCTGGATCTTCGGTGAAGGCACACACACTGTCAGGACACCAGAGGAGTGTGAGTAAACACACACACACACACACACACACACGCACACACACACACACACACACACACACACACACACACACACACACACACACACACACACACACACACACATACATACATAGACATAGACATAACATGCATCTAACAGGTGGGTTAGAACCAAGGATTCAGTATCCACACAAGCTCTCATAATGCAACTCCTACAAATGGGCTGGTTGGATTGAGCAGAATTTGTATATGTTTGCCAATGGAGACTTTAGCTAGGCATGTTGGCATGTTTGGAATACTGGGCTACAGTAGCAGCACTCTTGAGCAAGTGAAAATCATTTCCTTTTTCGGGGTTTCTGAATCACTCTGCCCTTTTGCCGGGTCATTGACGAGGGCTGGCACTGTATTCTGTAATTTCTCGGTGATGTTCCTGATGATGTGCTCTCCTTGAAGAAAATACATGGATCCACTGCATTCTCGATGGCAATGACGCAGCAACAGCAGCAGCAGCCGCAACAACAGCAGCATCCAGAACAACCTCAGTTCCCGTCGGCAGCAATTGGCAGCAGTCTATACCAGTCACAGTATGGTAACACGCCAACGGCATCCTACCTTAGTGGACCGAGTGGCGCAGCAGTATACGCTGATACGAGCTCTCCGCACTATTGTCCTGGCAACAGACCGTTGCAGCATGGTCACACATCTTACTCTGGATCTTCGATGAAGGCAATGCCGGGACATCAGAGCAGTGTGAGTAGACAGACACAGACAGACTCACAAACACACACACACACACACGCACATACATACACACACACATACACACACACACACACACACACACACACACACACACCTCAGACCTCAGACCTCAGACCTGCCCATCGCGGAAGCGATGATAGCGAACAGCTTTGTTAGACATAGCAACTTGTTCTGGGATTACACCATTCAACACACACACAAACACACACACACAAACACACACACACACACAAACACACACACACACACACACACACAAACACACACACACACACACACACTCACACACACACACACACACACACACACACACACACACACACACACACACACACACACACTCACATACACAAACACCCACACACACGCAAACACACACACACACATACACACACACACACACACACACACACACACACACACACATAGACATAACATACATCTCACATGTGGTATTCTCTGGTTACTCATCATCTTTTTTTCTTTTTTTCGTCCTTTGATTTTTACTGCTGGTCTTCTGTACAGATGTTTGGTGACAACATGCTACTGAGAATGGGTGCCACTGGCGAACTCTACTCCGGCGACACAGCACAGTATTATCCTGGCAGCACAGTGGCTCAGATGGGAGCAGCTAATCTATCGGCGACAGCAGATACAGGGCTGCTATCGCAAATATCGGTGAGTGAATTATAGTCGATGTGCGGCCATGAAACGAACGTCTGAAATATGTACCTTGGGATACCTCAACTCAAACACTTGAAATGCGGTCTCTTTGCTGCATACGCAAACTAACAGCTATTCACCAAATTTTCGGGCATGGCCGATCTTCAGGGTGAAAACGGTTTGGACTTAAGTATAACTAGCGATGCTACTCCAAGTAATAATACTGTGGATGACTTTGTATGGCTTGAATGAGTGAATAAGGTCAAAAGAGACTCAAGGTTCATACACGTTCAGGAAAAATCCCTAAGCTACAGTCTAGATGAGTCCTTGTCAGTTCAACAAACAACTTTGATTCAGCATTGGACTGTTCAACCTGTTGCAAAAGAAGGATCCACAAGCGGGATTCGAACCCAGCATCCTTGTCTTTCCGGGACAGTGCCCTACCCATTAGGTGCTATGTGCATATGAACAGGTCTGACATCGAATCCATCTCAGTTAGCGTTAAAGAACCTGGGTGGATGTGCAGTAGCTGGCCGCGGAGGCAGCCACACTGAAACACAAGTCAAAACACTCACTTCGTAGTTTTACAAATAATCGTCAGGAATTAAAAGAAGAGGACCATTAGTTCACAAGTTATCTGTTCTGTCCAACACTAAAGATTATAAGAAGGATAATGTTGAGTCACAATGTGCAACAATTAGCACAACACTGACTGATGTGCTGACAATCAATGACCTGAGGGGTAGCTGCATCACGTCTGGAATGTCAATTTCTCCTCAGTCAGTGATGTGCTAATTGTTGCACATTTTGGCTCACCATTATCCTGCTTATAATATTTAGTGTTGGACAGAACGGCCAACTTGTAAATTTATGGTCCTCTCTTTTTATCTTTAATCTTTTGCTCTCCATCCGAGTTGAATCTGCACACCTGATGAGCCGTGAGCATCTTTACGGCGAAACGTACGTCGTGCATGGCCAGCAATCGAGGACATCTGGGAGTTGTAATTTTGGTACTCCTCCGAGGTGTGATTTTCGGCGTGCTGGGCCAAGCACAAGGAAGCCACCTGTCAAAAAATGAAGAAAACGGTTGTTGTTTGATCCTTTGGTGTAATCTTTGTAGCTAGTCGAAGCAAGTTCCGGTTTGGAGCAGAAACGCTGAAATTGACTATTTTCTGCATGTACTCATGCATGTGCTCATGTACTCAGGCATGCAGTC